AAATGTTGTGTTTGCTTTCTGTTCCAGTTTTTGGCACCGCAGAGATGCCCAGTGAGCCAAGTCAAGATGGTTGTCCCAGGACAGGGTCTCCCCTTGCTACAGGACTCCAGCATCCCTCGCCCATCAGCCGTGTTTGTAGGATGCCAAAGTTTATTAGTCACCGTGAAAATCTTTACGTTGATGGCCTGGGGTGGCTTTCCCTCGCTCTCGCTTGGTGCATACCTGCTGTATTCATCACCATGGCAACTGTTGTGCCCTTCCTGCTATACAATTATACATTTCTGTGGATTTCTGTGGTGAGGGGCAGGTGTGTATTGAAGGCCACCAACAAGAGCATGAGATGTTCTAGGAACGAGACAGGTTGATCTCTGGTCAAATATTTGCCACTTTTATAAACTTAGTGTGATTCTTCAAGACTTTTACCAGTTCTTTAATCCATTCTCGTACCTTCCTTGGAGTCACTTATCAGGAGGTCTTTGAGAATGGTGCAAGGTTGTGGAAGGATGATTTTCACAGGATGAAAAAAGAGAGCAGAGGAGGGATGCATTTCAAAGCATCTGGAAAATCCTCAGCTCACAGCTTTACTGATGAGTTCAGCAGTAGATGGGAGGACCTGTGTGTGTCTCAGCCTTGAGAGCTGGCTCCCTGACCTCTCCTTGCTGCTGCCCTCGTCTGCATTTGGCTTTGGGTTCAGTTGTACAAGCTGGCACCTCACAGGAGTTTGTCCAGCAGTAATGTACCCCTTTGGTCAGGACCATCTTTGGAAGGGGTGGTGGGCTGAGTTTGCAGTCATGGTGAGTTACCTCTTGGTACGGAGGGGAGGGAAAGGAGGTTGGGGTTAAGATCGAATGGAAAACCTCAAGCTGCTGTTGTCTCCTCTGTGCCTGCCTCACAGATAACCCAAATACTTCAGTTCCTAGAGCTGGCCATTAGTTAACTCCTACTTAACCTTCGCCGGCTCAACAATGGATGTCAACCCCATTCTCCCTCCATCCCACAATAAATACATTAAAAGCAAGAAAAGCAGGAACCTGGTCCCATGAAAGAGGGTGTGTGTTGCACGGGGCAGTCTTCCACAATCCCCTCCACAAAGGAAATGGAGTCCTATACCGAATCTCTGTCACATTCATTAATTTAGCCCTTTCTGTGGGATGGGGGTGTGGGCTCTTTACTGCTTGAGACGTGCTGTACACACAGTTAATTCAGTTTCTTCTCATTAACTCCTTTGCCTGTGCCTGTTTCTGGGACAGATGTTTGGACAGGCCTATGTGTAACCTCTCCGAAAAGGGTCAGAGACAACAGTGATAGCTCGTCTGTTTTAAGATTTCCAAATAAGCCTCACCCAATTTGCTGAGGAATGTCAGATTGCATGAGGTGGCTTTCTGTTCTTATTTATAGAGAAAAATAGCTGGTAATAGTTATTAGACATTAATAGAATTAAGTCTCCATGTAAACACATTTAATCCTATTCTGTTTTAGGTTAAACCACTGTGGAAGTGGATTAAATCCAGGCACATGAAAAAATTCCTAATATGGAAAAATTTGGTACTGAAAAGCAACTATTGCTGCTAGAATTCACATCTCATTTTTCCCCCAGCTCTTTGTTTGTGTAAGAGGATCTTTCTTTTTCTTTTCCTGGTCCATATTCTAGTGATACCTAATGGTCCTGACCCAGACTCGGTCCCTGCTGTGCCAGGCGTTGTGCTCACTTGGTTGAGGGTGAATGTCCTGAAGAGGGGACAAGTCTCCAGGGGGTGACGTGGGGGTGAAATGGTCTCCTTGTGGTGACAGAGGGGTCCAGCGGATGGACGAGGATCAAGGCCTGGTGTCCAAAGTGCCATAATCCCGCGGTGTCGGGTGAGATAGGAGGATCTGCGTGTTATGCATTTCAGAGTGGAAAAGAAAATAGCAAACAGCTTTGAACGTGTCCAGATTTCATGAGAAAGCCAAGGGGAGGGTGGGCACAGGGCTGTGCATCAGCCCCCCTTTGCTGCCTTGGAAATACAGCTCCACCAAGGTAGATCCATCCTGAATTCTTGACTCGTAGCTGACCCCTGGATTTCCGAGTCCCACGGCATTTTCTGCTCTAGTTTGGGGTGCAGCAGGCTTGATTCTTCAAAGGAGCTGCCCACAATTGTTCCAAGGGTGTAGGACTTTCCGTCCCAAGCAGAGAAAGAGGAAAGGATTTACTGAAGAGCTCTGCCAGGCTCCTGCGAGAGGCTGAAGGACCATCTCCTCCTGGGGAGGTGACAGGAGGATTTGGGAGTGTGTCTTCTCCGCTACACGGGCGTAAAAGTGGGGAGAAAGTCCATGGCTTTGAGTGGTTACTGGGTCCTTGGTCTCACTTGGTTGGAGGAGATCTGCACTGCAAAGCTGATGGCGTCCATCACCTCGGCTGCCCATTCCTGCAGCTTCCCCCAAAGCTGAGCTTTGGCTTCTGGTCAAATGGTTCTGGGGCAAAAAAAAACCTCGTAGTGATTTCCTGGCTTTCAGAAGGGCTCACTTCAGGAGCGTGAGGTGCAGGCAGCGTCAAACCAGCACAGTCTGGGCTTTTCCTCTGCAGAAGGCAGCAGCAGCAGTTAACAGGTAATTAGATTCTGTGCAGGGAGATAACCTCTGCCTGGAGAAGTTTTGAACTGAGAGAAGAAAAGGGAGAAATGAAAGAACAAGGGGAGGCTGTTGGAAGAAAAGGGAGATGAGGGTGGTTTTCAGGAAGGCACAAGCGGAGAGGAACTAAAAAGGTGGTGCTGTAGTCTTTGTTGTTATCACTCTGGTCTTTACAAACGGCTGGTGGGACAGAAGCTATCAAAGTCACCTCGTGCCTTTCCTGACTGTGTATTCAATGGCTATTGGAGCCCTGTGAGCTCCTGCCAGGTGCCTGCCTTGCAGCATCCCTGGCTGCCTCCGGCCACCACGTTCCAGGCAGAAGTTGGCTGGAAAGAGAGGAGGATGCTCAAGCTGTGAAACAGGGTCATGGCCACAGAGCAGGGAAACATCGGGTGGAGGATGTTTTCCCCACCCCACGTTTTTAGGGATCCAGCCACTCTGGCACAGCACAGAGCAGAGCAGCACAGCCAGGTGGGGGAGACCAGTGGAGGAACCCACCATCTTCTCAGAGACACGTCTTGGGGACACGCATCGTTGCAGCTGGTTGCTTTCAGCATTGTGTCATCTGCTAGAGGTGCCACACTGTCCTCCAGGGAAGGAAAAGCACAAATAGAACAACATAACCCACCTTCCAAACCCTCATTTAGAGACCAATTATTGTAATTACTAAATTTTGAAACGAGGGCAGCTTCTCTTGCATTTATTTTCTGTCCCCAGTGGCTTGTCCAAGAGAGAGACAGAGAGCTGCTCCATGAGGGTAGGCACTAATCAAGGGGAGCTTCCAAATGAGTGTTATGTGTCACTGCATCTAGGTGAGAGGAAAGTATCTTCCATGTTTCTCTCATGGTTTGGTTGGTTTTGTTGTGGTTTTGGTTTTTTTTAAACTAGGCTTCTAATAGACTTGTTAACTTTCCAAATTATTCTAAGCAGCTGCATCTATCAGCAGCACACGAGGTTATATTTACTGTGTTTGAAAGCTCTCTAAGAAAGCTTTGAAGTCCAGCTCATCCCAGATTCATACGGAGAAGGAGCTGTAGCCATCGTGACACTCCTCCGCTGACTTCTAAAGATGTGAGACTTGAAAGCAACTATTTCTTTGCAAATATGGACAGGCGTGAGAAGCCTTTTTATAAAAAGTAAATAGATACTGAAATATGGATACTCCAAAAGCTACATCTGACTGTCACAGAGTTTTGTTTGTGTGCTGCAGGGGCTTTCTCTTACTTTTCTTACCAGCACTGTCCTTTCACGGTCCATATTTGCGTTTAATCATGTGCTGCTTTTCACTTTAGTACCGTGATCCAGACGACTAGAGTTTTTTTATCCCACCTCAGTCCCACATTCAAGGAAAAAAAAAATAATGATTTCATATGAGTAATATGCATGAAATCAACAGAAGGATTTTTACTTTTTGGATCCTTCAACAGCTTGAGGCTCAGATTCCTTTTTTCTATAGAGGCTTGAGAAATGCTGCAGGATGAAATACCTGCAGCGTTAAATGGCGTGGTATCATGAAAGGGGGGATATTTCTGGGTTTTATTATCACGCCCCCCCATTATGGTGTTTCCCATGGTACTCCCAGTACACCCATGCGTGTTAGACAGACAAAGTCTCCAGGAAACACTTGTGTTCCCCTGTGAAGCCACGCGACGTGGCACACGGGGGACACAATTGCACCCTCCGGCCACTCCTTCAAAACTGGTGACGGAGCTAAAAAGTGTTGAGCACATTTGGATTGTCCAGTTTCTGGAAGAGTATGGACATTGTATTAAACTTACAGCTGTGCAGTCTTCACGGAATTACTCTTTCCTGTTGGTCTGTACAAAGGATAGTGATGGAGCAGGTAGGACTGGGAGTAATGGATAGGTGTTTGGGTTCTTGCTCTCTTTCTTTCTTCTCTTTATTCAGTTTATCATAGAATGGTTTGGGTTGGAAGGGATCTTAAAGATCATCCAGTTCCAACCTCCCTGCCATGGACACCTCCTACCAGACCAGGTTGCTCCAAGCCCCATCCAGCCTGGCCTTGAACCCCTCCAGGGATGGGGCAGCCACAGCTTCTCTGGGCAACCTGTTCCAAACCTTTTCTTTTCTTCTCTGGGTGTTGGGATATTTTTTATTCTTCAAGGCTCTGTCTTCTGCGTCAAAAATAAAGGTGAAACCTACTCCTTACCTATACTTTTAAGGAAGTGTGTGTGTATATATTTGTACCCTATCTACGCAGTGTCATATAGCTGAGATTGTGATCAGCTCCACTGGAATTCACTACAAGAAATTAAGATAGAAAGGAAGGAGAACTTCTGTTCCCTCAATCCTGCTTCCCCATCTCCCAGTAATATTTGTCATATGTGATGTCCTTTGGATATTGATGCTGTCGTGGGTTTATCCCCCCCTAGATCATTTTCCGGAAGATCAGCGATGTCAAGAAGGAAGAAGAGGAGCGCCTGCGCCAGAAGAACGAGGTGACGCTGAGCATCCCCGTGGACCATCCTGTGCGGAAACTCTTCCAGAAATTCAAACAGCAAAAGGAGATGCGTAACCAAGGCTCAACCCACATCGACCCAGAAAGGAACCAGCTGCAGGTGGAGAGCCGGAGCGTGCAGAACGGGGCTTCCATCACAGGCACCAGCGTGGTCACCGTGTCTCAGATCACCCCCATCCAGACCTCCCTGGCTTACATGAAGACCAGCGAGGCCGTGAAGCAGAACAACAGGGATGCGATGGAGCTCAAGCCGAACGGAAATGGAGACCAAAAATGCCTGAAAGTAAACAGTCCTATGCGGATGAAAAACGGGAACGGGAAAGGGTGGCTTCGACTGAAGAACACGATGGGGACCCACGAGGAGAAGAAGGAGGACTGGAACAACGTCACAAAGGCCGAGTCCATGGGGTTGCTCTCCGATGACCCCAAGTGCAACGACTCGGAGAACGATGTAAATAAAAACCCACTGAGGAAAACGGACTCTTGTGACAGTGGAATAACAAAAAGTGACCTTCGCTTGGATAAAGCCGGTGAGACTCGCAGCCCCCTGGAGCACAGCCCCATTCAGGCTGATGCTAGGCATCCCTTCTACCCTATCCCTGAGCAGGCCTTACAAACCACGCTGCAGGAAGTCAAACACGAACTCAAAGAAGACATCCAGCTGCTAAGCAGTAGGATGGCTGCCCTTGAGAAGCAGGTGGCAGAAATTTTAAAAATATTGTCCGAAAAGAACGTACCCCCGACCTCTTCCCCTAAGTCTCGTTTATCCCCGCAGCGGCCGCCCCAGATACCCTGCCAGGATATTTTTAGTGTTTCGAGGCCTGCGTCACCTGAATCAGAAAAAGATGAAATCCACTTTTAGCATCTACCGATGTGTATATATGTATACAGTATATATGCAGAGGTGTATATATACCTTTATACATATATATATGTGTGTGTGTATACGGTAAATATATATACATATATATTTTCACTTGCATCCAATATGACTTGAACACACCGAGGATTTTGATATGTAAATATTGCATGTCCAGCTGGATTCTGGCCTGCCAAAGAAAACAATTATTAACATAGATATTGCTTGTATAATATGCAGTTGACTGCATGCACACTTTACATTTATTTATAATCTCTATTATGTAATAAAAGAACGACTTTTGTTTAACAAAGGCAATGTACTATTTAAAGAATCAGGGTCTAACCTGCCAATATTGCCATGAAAGTTTTGATCTCAGGCTGGATGAATCGAGCTTTTATTTCCTCACTGTCTTTTCTGCCGAGTTAAACAGTAGATTAACGTGACCACATGGAGGACACATTCAGACTCCAATTAGTATCGTTTCCTGGTATCATTCCCCTGCAATATATTGTATATTTGGTGATGAATTCCCCTGTTCCTTCTAAAGGGAGGGCTCAGCTCAGTGGCCAGGGAAGGGCACCGTGGCCGGTGCTGGGACGGATCACTGCAGTTTATTATCTGTGTGGGTGTTGTGCATGCACAGCCTTGTATTTCAAGTGTCCTCCTGCTCTTTTAACACCGTAAGTAAGAAATAACAGTGGTGATTTCTGTAGCAAAACGAAACTTAGCAGAAGCCCTCAGCTGCGCTCCCTACGTGTTTTGGGGGTAACTTCTTCCTTCAAAGGAATAAGTTTTTACCTTTTACCGATGCCATTCTCACTGGACTGTTGGAGTAACGTTATGTGGATTCTCTTTGCAGCACCCAGCGATGGTTCTGTCGGCATCTTCATTAGGATGTCTCGTTTTTGCAGGGTTGAGGTTGCTCTCTTGCTGTTGTGTTTCCCCCCCGCCATCTCCCCCCAACGTCCCTGGCAGAAAGGCTTTGCATGAGGTCTGAGCAAAGGAGAAGACAACCCTAATTTGGCTCCTTGAGAGCCGTGTGGGCAGGTTTGAAGGCCTGAAGTTCAAAGGCTGCAGGTAATCCCCCTCCACTCTCTTCTCTGAGGATGTTTATCAGTCTGCAACTGGATTTGAGGAGAGAAAATAACCAGTCAGGATGAAATTCCCCTTAGGAAATCCGTCCAAGGCACCTGGATGATAATGTTTGGATGGAAGAGCATTGGGGAGATGAAGTCCTCCCTAGGGTGCTGCCCGCTGCTCTTGCCTTGGACTTGTGGAAGGCTTTTGGTGCATGGCAGGGGGGACACGCTTCCAAAGCAGCCTTGCAGTGCCCACACAGCGTGGTGAGACGCTTAGGGCTGTGTCAAATGCTCTGACCCTCCTCTTAGCTGTCTCCCATCAGCATCTCCCAGTCTTGAACCACACTCAGGCCCCACCTCCATCGCCTCAGCTGGAGCATCGCCCTCCACGCAGCGCTGCTGGCTTTGCAAGGCTGCAAGAGGGCACTGGATCCTCTTTGTTCTCCTGTTTGGAGCTGGGATTTTGGACTCTGCCTGGGTCTGCACCTGAGTATGGTGGGGTTTTTGGCCTCTCTGTTTGCCCTGGCTGAGAATCCAGACACGTGTGGTGCACAGCAGAAATGGCCATTGCAGCTTCAGAGCTGTTAACCAGCAGAGCTTGAGGCCACCCCAGCGGAGCAATGGCTCCTTCAGGGCAGGACTTCTCCACGCTTAAAATGGCCTCTTGCATCAAGTCCCATGTTTTCAGAAGTGCCTGGAGTAAAACATGTACGTGCCACAAAGCGTCTCTATCGATCAGGTAAATAAAAGACATGTTTCTAATTAGTGGCCATCCTTACCAATACCATCGCTTAACATTTTGAATCTGAACTAAACGGCTTCCTGAAAAACTAAAACCCAATCAAACAAGCAAAACAAACCACGATTTGCAGCAGTGGCAATTAGGAACCCACATCTTAGAGTGAGCATATCTTTCTATTTAAGAGACATGTAGACAGGGGTGTGGGGTTTTTTTTGTGTGGTTGGACTCGATGATCTCAAAGGTCCTTTCCAACCATGGAGATTGATTCTGTGATTCTACTATGAAATCCAAACCCCTAAACCCCCAAAAAGGTCACAAGAATGCCAAGGACATCATTGCTTCTGTGATGTCAGCTCATGGAGGCTTGTTGGGAGATAATGGTCTTTCTTGTTTGCTGTTCCTTTCTGCCCTCTTTCCACCCCTTCTCGGGTTCATTTCTTTAGGAAATCGTAGACAAATAAAAAGGAAGCATCAAAAGCCACCGAAAGGGGCAACTCTTCCCAAAGCTTGGTAGTTAGTCTGCCTGCTCGTTATGGTTTCCTGCAGCTGAAGTTGCTTCTGTGAGAACTTGCAGCAGCTGTATTTTGCTCATCTGTAACTCTGCAACCACGCTTTGGCCTGCAAAAAACAAACTGCAACTGTAAAACAGCAGGACCTTGGAGGATCTGCTCTAAATCCCACCCCGGGACTCTGAAGGAGTTACAGGGTTAGGGAGTTACAGGGTTGCTGCAGGCTCCTGGAATATGTGCAGACCTCGTGGGTACCACTTAAGTGCCAAGCTTGGAGGATGGATGGATGCCTGACTTGGGTTGCTGGTGAAGACAGACACACGGCAACCACCCCAGAGCTGTCTGGTGGATCCCTGAGTCACGCAGGGACTGTCAGGGGACCAGGTTTTGGGTAAAGTTCCTCAAACGCATGAATCTGCCATGATAACGATGCTGCAAAAGAGCCAGCAGGGTAACGGGTGTGACTTTTATTAGAAAGCTTTAGCCTTAATGACATTCCTCTGCCTTTGTGAAGGACTTATTTTCTTTCTCTGTAACTGATATTAATTCTAGATAGAGCTGCATGGCATGCAAAAGGATCCCTACTTAGGTTTATCTTGCAAGTCAGGTGTAACTTTGCGCCACTTTACGATGAGAGAACATGTAACAGGATTAATCTGACCTTGAAAATTATTTGAGCCCAGAATGTTTATTGCAGTTCAAATGCAACCTTACTGGTTAAAAAAAAGGGTAGTGGCTAAAAGCTATAAATAGTGTAAAATACCAAGTTCTTGAACCAAATATGGTGTTTCCAGGTCCACTTCTAGTGCTGCTTTGACTCTGTGACGTTCCAGTGTTGTCCATTGCGAGGTAGGTGGTTGGACTTGATGATCCCAAGGGTCTCTTCCAACCAAAATGATTCTGTGATTCAGTGGTACTAGCTTGTAGGAGGCAGTAGCGTGATGGGTATCTTGCAAACGTGGTAAAAGCAAGCCTGCAGAGGGGCTGTCCCAAGCCCCGTGCGCTGGGGCTGTGGCTGGAGCACTTGACTCTAGTCTTAACTCTAGGAGTCTTGGAGGAGTCTTGACTCTAGTGGCCATTGCTCCGCAAATCGGACTGGTACAATTCCGAAGCACTTTGCCTCCCAAAAAACTGTTGTGATCGGAGAGTTACATGTTGTTTCATGGAGTAGTTAACTGGGGGGGTGGGTGGTTCAGCCCTCCCGTCCCCTCATGGTTGTGCATGATGTGATGGAGCATCTTCTGTTAGAGAAGCATGAGTCGTAGCCTTGTCGTTCAGGCTGGAGAGAAAGCAACCACCTATAGCTAGGAGTGCAATGAGGACACAAACATGTCTCTTCCACCCAAGTCAGTGCTCCAGCAGCTTCTTGGCGTGTGGAGGGAGCTCTGGGCTGCATGCTTCCCTTTCCTTTAAGAGCTCCATACTTGTACGGATGTTCCTGCCACACGCCGGTAACATCGTTCTTAGCACTTAACCTTGGGCTTTGTGTGTTCAAAGCATTTTACCCGCACGCAAGTGGATTTTATCTTTCTGGACTTCGGAATAGAAATAAAATATGTACAGAAAAGTAAACACTTTTCAAAGCAAATGAACTAGAGTAATTTTAATAGTGCTTTTTTTTTCCTTTGGTGTAATATTACATATACGAGATAGAACAGCACCTCAGGATTATAACTGAAAACAAGATAATTGTAGTGAAGACTCAGTTCTTCTGAATTTGTATTTGTAAATCCTTTCTTTCCACCTTTCTGTCTTTGCCAGGGGACAGGGGTTAGAGCAGAGCTGGCTCTGGAAGTAACAAACTTAAGCTTTTCCAGTTTTTCTTGACCCTGTTCTGCAGAAGGAGCACAACTCTAGGGACCCGATGCTGCTGGCGCCCAACCTTGGGCTCATTGCTAGATTCAAATTCAGTCTTCATCTACCACCTCATGGAAAGAAACTCCGTTACATGGGTGTCAACTGCAGGTTGTATCCGATGGTCACATTGGACCTTAGAGTGTATTTTGGATCCCAGAAAATTTTGAAGAACGTTGTCGTATTTGCAAGCCATGAGCAGGCGCTGAGCCCGTTAGACAGATGTCACCATTCGCATGGGTCAGAAAACAGATGTTGTGCTCATAAAACAGCTTGGAGACTTTTTGGAGAAAAAGATGTCCTGAACTGGAAGGGAAAATAAAAAGTCAAAGATTTAATACAGAATTTGGGAGTGAGGAAGTAGAGGGATATGTTATAGTGAATTCAAAGTTCTGTGCTTGGATTTTGAGCATTTAGAAAAACACAAACCTATCTTTTATGATGTCAGGACTGGACAGAGTGATTGTCAAATTAAATATGTTTTTCCTGAGTCAGGATCAGGGCATCAAAGAGATACCCATTTTTTTTAAAACACTTCAAATACCGTTTTCCTACAGAAGAGAGTTTTAATAGATTTTGTCATTGTTGTTTTTAATAGGCTGTATGTAAAGGCTTTTCTCGGTTCTCTTTTTTTTTTTGGACCAGAAGCTCCTGTCTTAACACATATCTTCAGGTCTACAGTGCTTTATAGTCTCGCTGCTAACGGGCTTTTTAGAGAGGGTTTGAGAAGTGGGATTCCACTTCTCTCTCTTCCCTTCCCAAGCTGCTGTGAGCACTAAACAGCAGTAGTTTGCATTTTTTCTTGGCACTTCTGGATCTGCACTGATTTCCTTAGGGGAATTTAAGGAAGAAAACAGAAAAGTTGACACTTTTTTCCTGGATGGCCTCAGTCCTTCACCTGTGTCTGTGCCACTAGAACAGTGCTTCCTCAAGGAGCCTACAGGGAGGAAAAGTTTGATCCAGCTACATTTCCACATCTGGCAATACTTTTTTATCATTTTTCTCTTTATTTTTTTTTTTTGGTGCAAACGGGTGAGGTGATCTCTGGGCGTTTTGTTGGTTTTAGTATTTTATAGTGCATTTCAAAATTAAATACAATCTTAAAGTTCCTGAGTGGAATTAAATCAGACAGGAAGTCCACATAATTTCTGGCCACAAAGCAGCGAATGCTCTTGCTGACATAAAGAATATTTTACAAAGATCAGCTTTGTGATACCCAAAAAACGCCAAAGAAAATATAATCATCTTTACTGAGGGCACATTTAGCCGTACAGAAACTTGACCTTGTGTTGCACAGTGGGACAAGAAGGGCATATATTGATTTTGAATACTTGAGTGATAGAAACATTCAAAAAGGGCTTGACCGGGCTGTGATAAAAAAATATGTTAATTTATTATTTTATGCTAATCAGCCACCTGAGGAAAGGCAGGTGGAACCAGGCGTCTGAAGCAATATTCTCACCAACATTTTTATCCATTGTCCATCCAGCAGATAAGTGCGTTTCTTCATTACTTTATGCTTGGAGATAGATAGAAGCTTGCTCGGCTCATAGTCTGAGAGTGTTGGCGTGCACCATCGCTACGTCTGGCTCTCTGCCACAAAGACATCAATCAGCCTTAATTAAAAGCCCTATAAAAAAGGATTTTGTATTAGATCGGGCTCACCCCACACGCCCCCCACCCCCAGACTGTATGTTTATCTGGTTCGGAGCAGATGCAGTTCAAACTTGTGGACATGGCAGAATATGTTTCTCCTTGCCTCCAGAGGACATACAGGCACAAGGGGAGGTTCAGATTGGATATTGGGAATTTTTTTTTCTCTGAAAGGATATCAAGCATCAGAACAGGCTGCCCAGAGAAGTGGGTGAGTCACCGTCTCTGGAGGTATTTAAAATACATGTAGACGTGGTTTAGTGGTGGACTTGGCAGGTTAATGGTTGGACTCGATGATCTTAAAGGTCCCTTCCAACCTAAACGATTCTATGGTTCTATGGTATACCTACACATGTGGAGTGGAGGCTCAGAGCTGGCCTGTTTAAGACAGGTCTTTCAAACTGGTGAGAGAAATTGTGCTCTGGAAGTGCCAGTCTCTCATCGTTTACGGTAGAGTAATGACTTCAGTTGAGGCACTTGATTTGTAGACTGCTAGAGGGTAAATGAAGTGAATCCAACCCATAACTCAAGCTCCCAGCCCGATCTCGTTTGTGGAAAGGGTACCTCTAAAAGGGACTGCTTACCATCTCTCCAGCACAGAAGCACTTTCATACAGGTGACTAACAGTACAGGGAACATTGAAATGTCTCAGCATGCAGCCAGAAACAAAGTGTTCAGATCCTTAACTGCTAATGAGAGCTCCATAAAGACCCTCAGATGCTCAATTCTTGGCCTGTGGTGATCAGGTTTTTAACTTTTTACCCCAGTGCCATGGCAGGATAGTCCAGGGACTTCCATTTTCACAGTTATATAGCAATTGACATGCTTTTCATCATGATGTGCAATGCCAAGGCGCAGGGGCATCGCCAGTCACTTTTTTGGACAGTGAAAGACTGGGAATTCGCTGCTCTGGGATACTGAGGATGTCAGGATTCTTATTGCTGAGCTATGGCATGCAGTGGAAAGAGGCAAAGGTTTGGAAAGGTCCAACAGAGGGAAAAATTGTAGTGAAGGGCTTCCGAGGCGGACAGAGAGTGACCAACGGTCAGGAGATTGCCCTGGCTGTGGGAGGAGGGAGGGGAGAGGGACAAGTGAGGTGACAAAATGGTGACAGTATTCCACTGAAGTCAGTACTTACTGGTCTCTGCATAGTGGCTGCTTGTGTCTTCGTAATTTATTTGTTTGGAAGTTGGCAGGCTCCTCCTTTCTTCAGGTGGCATTTAAGGATGGGGCTGGCAGCCCTTCCTGGGGTGACAACAAGGGCCATTAGAGGATAACTCAAATATAGATGCCCTTAGGAGAAACTGTGGACTTCATGAGAGCCAAAGGTCGTACAGCTTGCCAAAGACCTGTCAGAAGGGGGCATGTCCTACCCAAACTGTGCAGCATCCCTGTATGGACTCGATATTTGAAGCTTTGAACAGGGAGGTTTGACCAAGTGTTTTCAAAAGGTCCCTTCCAGGCTGTTGTTTTATCGTTCTGTAGATTTTTAACAACACAAACAGAGAGGAGGTAGATTTTGGAAGTCCTCAGTTACATGCCATTATTTTCTGGGTTTTGATTTAAATGCCTTCCTGAGGAATGTGGTGCCAGTTGTCAAGATAACAAATACTTCTAAGATCTGATACTCATCAAGCAGACAGCAGAGAAATTTGCCATGTTCTAAAACTGCAGCATATAAATAAATGAAGCCCTTCACTCGGGCATCAGCTAACATTCACACTTGATGCCAAACCCTGAGAAAAAAAAGTCTCAGTGGCCACACAGCTTCTGGAAGAAGTGGGCTAATACGAATATATCTGCAACACCCCCTCCCTCTTCCAGCCTCTTCCCCAGTCCAGTGAAAGGTGATCATGATGTCTGAAGATGCCTTCAAAAAAACCAATAGAATTTGAGCTGGTTTTCAGTTTTGCACTGGCAGACACGCTCATCAAAGGCTGTAGAAAATGTGTGAAGGGCAAATAGGTTCCTTCTTAGCTGCTGAACCAGGAGATGATTCTCAGTGTCAGTGTGTGGACACCATTGCTGAGATGGCCTGGGCTTGTCCAAACGGTCTGGGGATGTCCATGGAGCCCGTGCACATCCCTAGAGTCTGCCCCATCCCCATTCCCAGGCTTATTCCCTGCTTTTCTAGGCACATTCCAAGGTCTACACCTGGCCCTGTTAGGTTTAACTGACAAGCTGTTTTTCCATCTTCTGTAACCTCCTCCATATCCCTCACAGGCTTAGTCAAAAAATCCTCTCCAGTCTGCGGCTTAGCAGCAGGTGTCCAAATAAATAATGAACAAAAGGGCAAACCTTCTGCCAGCATCAGTGCATTATTTCACTAACCTTAATTCATTAACCATTAAATAAACCTTATTTTTTATTTTCCTTATGGGTCTTGGGAAGATCTTGAACAGTATAGAGTCCCATAGAAAAGCAGGGATTGGAGTGCTTGCATTTTTTTAATGTTTGAAAAGGGGAACTCAAGTGAGATGCCAGCTTCACACTTGGTCCAGCCCCATGCGACCATATCCTCTGGTTTCTTCCACCAGTTACACCTTAAGTGAACTTCCCCACTAGTGGCACTTTGCACTGATGCCATGTGGTGCCAGTAAAAAGTCCTCTTCATTTCCTTGGGTGGACCCTAGGGCTCTGCTCAGCGTTTCCACGTGTGGTACACCAGGACACGCGGGCGCTTTCCCCTCCTGGGCTTGGTTTCAGAAGAATTCCCCGAATTGTTGCATCTCTTTTCTCTGTCTCCGCTTTGTTTTCCTAGAAGAAAACCCACCCCTTTGTGCTGGTGTCCACCTCCCCCAGCTGGTGGGGCAGGAGAGGACATGCATGGCTCACTGGAAGCAGGTGGGGAGTGATGTGTTGTGGGGGTTTTTTTGTTGTTTTTTTTTAAAGCAAAACAAAATTTGTGCTCTGCTCCTAATTAGTCCTCTGTTGTCCCTGCAGGATTAATTACTTTCTTCACTTGTATCATCAAATGTTGTTTGGCAACAGCTTTTTTTTTTTTTTTTTTTTTTTTTTGTTAGGTCTAATTAGGAGCCCTGGCATTGCAAACAAGCTCAGTCATGTGGTACTTAAAAATTACAAGGCTGAAATGTCACCTAAGCTGGTAGCTAAGCCTAGGTTTTGAATATCAACAACCCCATTGCACTCACTGTGTGTTCAGAGCTCATTGCTCTGGGGCCATCAGTGTGAACGTCCTTCTCCTGAAATCAATAACAGAGGGGATTTTTGTTCTTCAGATTTCTCCCACAATGTGGCTCTCAGAAAGGGACTGTGGATGCTGTGGCACCTCCCAGCTCCTCCTGCTGCCCATTGATGCTCTGGATATCCCCTTTCTGGACTTAAAGGAAGGGCTGAGTGCCACCAACTGCATAATTCTATCAAGTGGTAAATTCAATTTATCGAGCGGGAGAGGCGGTAGCTGGCAATAAGGCAGGTTTTGGGTTTTAAAAATCTGCCTTGTGGGAATTGGACAGGCTACCAGAAAGACAATAAAGGATTTCTGTGGCGATGCCTGCCAAAGGAATGCTGAACATGCAGGCGGGAGAATTTATTGATACCAGTGAAAAAGCTCATTAGTGTTAAGGTGCAAAGCAGCTCTGCGAATGTACCTTTCAGCTCTCCCAGTAAAAACCCCGCGCTCGGACAAGGGAAACTAAGGCTTGTGGAGTGCAGAACTGGCCAAACAGCTTTCCCAGCAAACATGCTTCCCCAAAAGTGACAGCTCTTATTTTACCAGCACGGACAAATTTCATTACTAACCCCAATGGATTTCCCCTGCAAGTAGTTTCACAGTGATTCAAGGATGCTCCGAAAGCAGTGTGTCCTGTAGGACAGGTTTGGTCCCTTCCCTCTCTTGCCCTTCAAGAGAGCTGTGGCCCTGCAAGGGATGAGGGAGCCCTCAATAAACCTGAAGCTTGGAAACAAAGGTTCATTATTCATATTAAGGAAAACATCTCAGTAGTAAAAATACCCTTGCTAACCGTCTAAAGCTCCGATGCCTTACGAGCACAGTTCACTTAACAAAATCCCATTAGTACTGCAAACTGTTGTCAGATGAATTAGGACATGATACGCTTCATAAACTTTACATACCTATTTACTGTTGTTACGTATATAGCATCTGTCTGGGGCTTTTACATGCAGATGTAGCTGCCTATCTTGTGTTAATTTCTGCTCGTTTTGAGTGCTACGTAATATGAAGCAGAATATTTTCCACAATGAAAAGAAATGTTTTTCTTCCTTGTTTATCTCTTTTATCTTTTCTTTCTTTCCTTCTCCCTCCCTTCCTTTCTTTCATTCTCTTTTTCTTTCTTTTTCTTTCTTTCCTTTCTTTCTTTCTCATTCTTTCTTTCGTTCCTTCTTTCCTTCCTTCCTTCTTTCCTTCTATTTCCTTCCTGCCTGCCTGCCTTCCTTCCTTTTCTCTCTCTCACTTTTCCTTCCTTCCTTGACTTCTGTTTTCTTCTTGCCTAGACTATTAGGCTAGCAACTTACAGGAATGGGATGATTGATTAAGTAATGTTGCATCAGCAGATTTAATGAGATAATGATCTGTTTTGCTATTTGTGTTCAGAAGAAATAATAGGGTAATAGGCATTGTAGCTAGGTTTGATTTGTCCAGGTCCTGCTTAAACACCAGCCAGTGACCAAGTGGTTCAGGAAAGTGTACCAGCAGATCTAAATTGTGCTCTTTGTTTTGAAGGTAAATGTTTTCAGACATTCTGCATAAATTTTCTTATTAAGGTCAGTGGCAATCTTCCCATTAATTTCTATTCTCTAGCCCAGTTCTTGCGTAAGGACCAGGACAGTGAGTTCCAGCGTGGGCTGAGACTTCTCAAAACCAAGAGCTGGGGGTACCAGAATGTTTAATTTCAGGCCATGGTGGAATGCAAATGGGTCCAAGATTTCATGCCCTACAAAACTGCACGCCGAACGCAGGCAGAAATGTAAAGGTTGTGGGACAGCAAGGTGAATTCCCATAAAAATTAGCTGAACAGATCAGGGAAAGGACACTTCTTAATTAGTACAAGTTTGAGTTTAAATTACTTACCGGAATTGTCGGTAATTTCCATCCAAAGTAACTGCTCAAAATCCATGACTGTGTAGAATATCCCTGTACGAGTCAGGCGTGTACATCAGCTGTGCAAGCCCTCTCTGGGGAGGAAGCACAGTTAAAAATAAAGTTATTATTGTTACCACCGAGAGAGATGATGACAAAAGCTGGAGGTTGTGCCCCAGGTACTCTGAGACTCTTGAATCCTTCCCTGCCACCCCTGTCTCCAGGTTTTTGCTGATTCAGCCGTGGGCTGACATGCTCAACTTCAGAGTCCTGTTTGTGTTCCCTCATGTCCGTCCACATCTTTGGTGGAGCAGAGCATCGGGCAGGGGAGGAGCAGCTTCTGTAGGACTTCATGAAGTCTAGCCTACACCCTGGACCGGGCTTTGAAGGGGAAAGTCCTGGCTCCGTGGGGGCCACAGGAGTTTTGGTGTGGGTTTTAGGATTCCTCCCCTGCCTCCCCCATCCCTTTGAGATGCTTATGAGCTCCCACTCGTGTTCAGGCAACCTAGGCTCTTAAAGAAAGAAAAATCTGGGGATTATAGGAGGAAAAGGGGGTGGGCATGATCGCGCTTATGTCTCTGTGCACTCCCGGCTCCCCAGTGGTGTGTGATGAAGTGTCCTTGTAACAGCACGCTCACAGGATTGCTCACAATTAGCGGCAGGTGGAGATTCTTCTAAGCAAATTGTTGTCATGACAGAGGACCTCATTGCAGTCAAAACGCCGGACTATTTTTCTAGCTTTTTTTTTTTTCCCTCAGGCTTCCCCCCTCACCCCAAATCACAACTGAAAACTCAGCCAGGAGCTGCTGTACAAGCCTGCACAGAGCCAAAATACCACCCCAGCCTGCCCCACCAGGTGCCCACTGAGCACCCACCCCAGGTGTAACCTGCCTTCTCTCCCTTTTTCCCTGCTGAAATGCAGCTACGTGGCCAATATCCCTTTTTCTTTTTTCCCCTTTCCCTGGGAGCAGGCAGCCTGGTGTCACCAGCCCAGCGCTCACTGACCTGCGTGTCCCGACAGGGACGATCCTGCGATGCTCATCCCTGGTTCCTTCACAGGAATTTCTTCCCAAGCCAAGGTCTTTAAAGGCTCCTTTTTACCCTGAGATCCTTAGTTTTGATTTCGCATGTCAAAGGTGTCCCGTTAGCTGCAACAAGCACCAGCTGGTGTCATTGCCTTTGCACAGCCCTCGCCGAGAAGTTGGGCAAAACCAAGGGGTTTTTAAAACCTCACATTGGAAAAACTGATTTACAGAGCGACTGCAGCTTCTGAATGTATGTGGTTCACAGACACTGGACTGTGGGGAGGAAGAATATTTCGGGAAAACTCTTTTTTTCTTTTTTTTTTTTGCAAGGAAGATATTGGGGGAAAGGGTTATTGCTCAGATAATGCTTCTTTTGTTACTACTTGCTGCTCTTTGTACACTACCTGATGCAAATGGCATTCATGTTACTGATGATATTTTTGAACAGCCCAGCTATCTTTTTTGCTGTTGTTAATATACTGAGGATTTGGGGGGGGATTTTAAATGCCTCTGCCTTTCAGGATTATTTCTACAAAAGCAATTGATAACTGTATTTTGACAGCGGGAAGCTTATAAAAACCTAGAGAAAAAAATAAAATAATAATATATATAAAAAAAAAAAGCATTTGAAACTGAACAGCTATAAAAGGAATGCACCTCTACTACCATATCTGAAAGCTGCAAAGCAATCGTGAATTCC